AGAACAAACATTGTTAAAAATGTCTATAGCATGGAGGACATTAGGGGAAGGAAGGGAATACTGAAGGCGGGGGGGAAACAGAGGGGGAGATGATTGTAAGAGACTATGGACTCTACTCCAGGAAACAATCTGAGGGTTTCAGAGGGGACAGGGGCGGGTGGATGGTATAGCCTGGTGATGGCTATTGAAGGCACGTGTTGCAATGAGCAATGAATCATGGAACACTACTAAAAGGTAACCTACAAAATAGAAGATAATTGCAAATAACATAGCTGATAAAAGGTTAGTAAAAGTTAGACCAAAACCACAATGATATCCCACCTCACACTAGTCAGCACGGCTACTCAACAACGCAAGACACAGGTGGAAAAAGGGTGCACTGCTGGTGGGAATGCAAACTGGTGCAGCCACTCTAGAAAACAGTACGGAGGGTCCTCAAAAAGTTAAACACAGAACCAACGTACAACCCAGCAACTGCACTACTAGTTATTTACCCAAATACAAAAAGACGAATTCAAAGGGATACATGCACCCCAATGTTTATAGCAGCATTATCTACTGTAGCCAGATTATGGAAACAGCCCAAGAGTCACTGACTAATAAGATGTGGGGTGTACATATATATATATATATACACACATTACTGAGCCATCAAAAAGAATGAACTCTTGCCATTTGCAATGGCATGAACAGAGCCAGAGAGTATGATGTTAAGTGAAGTCAGTCAGAGAAGGAGAAGTACCATATGACTTCACTCATATGTGGAATTTAAGAAACAAAACAAGCAAAGAAGAAGAGAGATAAACCACAAAACAAACTCTTAAGAGAGCAAACTGATGTTTACCAGAGGAGAGGAGCGTGGGTTAGGGTTGAGGAGGGCACTTGGAGATTAAGGCCAAGCACCAGGTGTTGAATGGAAGTGTTGCATCACTATACTGTACACATGAAACGAAGTAACCCTAACTGAACTGTTAACTAACTGGAATTTAAATAAAAACTTCAGAAAAATAAAGAAAAAAATTATGTTTCTAAATGAAACCCAAGACAATATTATAAACTACTGTAAATAATGAAAACTTCGTATCATAACCTGTGTGCATGCAAACATTGTTCTCTGAGAAAAACCTACAACTTGAAATGCCTTCACTATTAAAAATAAAGGACAAAGGAAAAATTACATCACTTTTCCTAAGGTATTAGAAAAAAATGGGGCACCTGGGTGGCTCAGTGGGTTAAGCCTCTGCCTTCGGCTCAGGTCATGATCCCAGGGTCCTGGGGTCGAGCCGCGCATCGGGCTCTCCGCTCTGTGGGGAGCCTGCTTCCTCCTCTCTGTCTCTCTGCCTGCCTCTCTGCCTACTTGTGATCTCTCTTTATCAAATAAATAAATAAAATCTTAAAAAAAGAAAAAAATGCAGCACAATAAGCCAAAAGAAACTAAGAGATCGTTGACAAAGATAAAACCTAAAAATAAACATTAAAAAATAACTGGGGTGGGTGGCGCAGTGTGGCACAGTTGGTTGAGTGTCCAACTCTTGGTTTCAGCTTGGGTCATGAGCTCAGGGTCGTGAGATCAAGTCCCACGTTGGGCTCAGCGGTCAGCACTGAGTCTGCTGCAGATTCTCTCTCCCTCTCCTTCTGCCCCTCCTGCTTGTGCTCTCAAATAAATAAATAAACCTTTAAAAAAACTGGGCAAAACAAAGAAACTTAGAAACTCATTGTTTGAAAAGAGCATCACCAACAACAAAATTGACAAATCCCTTGCAAACCTGTTTGTGGATAAAAGATAAATACCAAATATACAGGAATTTAAGAAAAAGAAAGGGCACAAATCTTAGATAATATGGCAACAGAATGAAAAAATAAAGTGATTACCTGCACAGATATAAAATTATTAAAACTGACTTCAAAAAAAGTTGAAACTTGATTTGAGTAATTTTCACAGAAGAGCCTGAAGAGATGATTAAAAATACTGCAAATGTCACCTGGAGCAAACAGACTCATAAATGAACTTTATCTAACTTTTAAACAATAGGCAATTCTAATGTCATTTGAGCTATAAAAGAAAAAGATGGAGCACTCAGCGATTCATTTGATACAAGCAGTAAAATTTTAATACCAAAATCGAGTAATAATAAAAAATAGAGCTTTAGATCAATCTCACATAACAAAGGCACACAGTGTTTATACCTCGACTGTCCTCTGCTCTACCAGCTGAGCTGCCAAAGGGTGATATGAAGGCATACAGCGTTCAAAGAAATATTAGCACATAGAACCCAGCAATAATCAAATTATAGTATAAATTGTAGTCCAAGAATGTAAGGGTATTCAGTGTCAGGAAATCTATAAACATAATCCATCTGTCAATCAACATATTAAAAATAAAACTTAGGGGTGCCTGGGTGGCTCAGTAGGTTAAGCCTCTGCCTTCGGTTCAAGTCATGATCCCAGGGTCCTGGGATCGAGCCCCACATTGGGATCCCTGCTCAGCAGGGAGTCTGCTTCTCCCCCTCCTTCAGCCTTCCCTCCACCCCCCAGCTTCTGTGCACATGCTCTCTCTCAAATGAACAAATAAAAATCTTAGGGGAAAAAAAAAGAAATGCTAAGAAAGGTTAAAAAAAAAAGAGCAGTGAGGACTGATTTCACTTACCAGATAACAGAAGATAAAATAAACCCACTGTAATCAAATCAGTATTGTATTGACACAACAAGACAAAAGCAGTTCAATGAAGAAGCATAATGCATCCAGAAATACATAGTAGTATGCATGAAAATTTTATATGATGAATGGGTTTATTCAAATCAGTAGTAAAAGATGTACTATTTGATAAATGGTACCATTGCCATAGGCTACTGATCTAGACAGAAATAAAACTACCCGTATCCCATTTCTAAACCATATACAAAAATAATTATCAGATGAATTGATGACAAATGAAAAAAGCAAAACAATAAAAATCTTGCAAGAAAATCTGGGAAATACACATACAACACTGATATGCAGAAAACATTTTTAACCAACACTGGCCACTCTGAAGATATGAAAGAAAAGATAGAAACATTTGACTATAAATTTTTAAAAAAATTTTAGTAAAAGTTACTATAAGACAATAGGTCTTGGGGGAAATCACACTATACATTAGTATGTTAAGGCAGTATAACAAATAGTTAACATTTGTGATAATAAAAGGGTTTTGTAATAAAAAAATAAAAGAGCGCAAAGAAAAATGGGCAAAACCTATGAACTGTCAAATCTCAAAATATAAATGCAATAGCCAACAGGCATTTGAAAAGACGTTCCACCTAAGAAATAAAAGGAATGCAATTAAAGTGATGATGTGGTATCACTCTATAACTAAGCTGGCAAAAATTAGAACAAGATAAAAGTTATTGACATAAGAGCAGGGAGAAGGGCACTCGCATATGTTGATAGTAGAAATGTTTGGAGAGCTCTGGCCTTTCTGGCAATTAAAACCAAATAGAAAATATTCCCTTCATTCCAGTGACATCCCTCTTGAGAATCTGTCCCATAGGAATAAAGCACCAGTATGTAATGATACAGCATACAATGACCAAAAAGTGGAAATGATACAGAATCTTATGTAGCCATTAAAATCAATGAATTGGGGCGCCTGGCTCAGTGGCTCAGTTAAGTGACCAACTCTTGATTTAGGGTCAGGCCATCTCAGGGTGGGCACTAGGCATGAGCCTGCTTGAGAGCTTCTCCCTCCTCTCCCCTCCCCTCCTGTCCCTCTCTAAAATAAAAATAAAAGTGAATTGAAGCTATGCTAACTGACTTAGACAAAATTCCACTAGGTGCTAATGAGAGAGAAACATGTGTGTAATATCCCATTTTTGTAAAACAAGCAATGACCAAGAAAACCTTTATGTGCATGTATAAGTGTGTGTGTGCATGAGGATATATAACCATACTAGGGTTATTTGTTTGGGGACAGGCAAGAAGGGGGCTAATGTCGAAGGCAGATGGGGAGCCAAACAGAAAGAACAAAAAAAGACTGTAATGTATGACATGATTATATTTAATACTTATATTGCCATCATATATGTACTGGGGATAGATCCGTATAATACACATTTAAAGAAAACAAAACAAAATTTAAAATAAATGATTCCAGCATTCAATTCAATAAGCAAAATTAGATTAGCAAAATGAACTGAAATCAGGAAATCAGGAAGAAGGAATGAATTAATGAAAGAAAAAGCAGAAATTGATAGAAACAAAAGACGTTTCCTGACAAGATCAACAAAATTGAGAAACTTCCTAGAAACATTATTGTTAAGAGAGTGAAAGAGAACATACACAATATAAGAATGAAAAAGGAAATATAACTACAGACACCGAATAGCTGAACAACATCAGAAGACTAGTATATGACTTGATACCAATGGATTCTTAAATCCAGAAAAATCTAGATTGCTTTGCTGAGAAAAATATATAACCAAATTTGACTGAAGAAGAGGCAGAAAAATCTAAATAAATTGATGATCGTAGATAATATTGAAAACATCATTTAATAGTAGTCTGTCAAAATGCACTGGAACCCAAAAAGATGAAAAGCTTCTGAACTCAGGGCTAATACTATTCTTAAACTGAAACTGGGCAAAGGTACCAAAACCACACCACACGTACACAGGAGACCTACACACTAAAGTTGTACATAATACTGATGGGATCTCATTGTTCTGCCTCTCTGTAGGGAAGCGTGGAGGTAGGCTGAGGAAAGTTTTGTTTTCTCTCAGGGTCCTTGTCTCTTCATCCGCCTTGCACTGTCTAGTTTCCAAAGTGGCAGCATGTGACCGAGAGAAGCAATGGACAAAACATAATAGCATCAACAAATAGTTGAGATCTGTGAACAGGATTGGCCATAAGCACACACACCTTACCTTTCTCAGTGCTTTTTCAGTGCTTAACCACCATCACAACCATCCTAGCCTGAAGCCTGCTCACAATCCCAACGGGACCCCACAGAACGTGCCTTTACCTTGCGTCCACATGCAGTGCACCGAGCAGCTCGCTTTGCATATAGTCCCAGGACAGTTCCACTGCACCCAGGTAGTATCTTCTGGTGGCACTAAAGCTGAGCGGCAAAAGGCACAGAAAGAAGCAGGTGGCGAGTTCTATTTGCATGGCTTGTACTGCTAGAAAATGTTTAACTGGGGAGAAACAAAAGACTAATTCTTCTGTAAAATATCTTCAGGTCCCAGGAGAAAAAAGGTAAATTTTCTATGATTTAATGAAAAGTCCCAAAATTTTTGCTGGGAATTTTAGGGAACTTTACCTGCTGGATGTTACAGCAGTATAGCAGTAAGCAGTAACAGATAAGATTGTTTCCTTTTTAGCAACGGGAAGCAGCCACAGGAAGAACTGAATAGGAAAAGAGGGGCGGAGCTGAATCTTAACCCATTCACTTTTGCGAGTACTCTGGCCTGAGAATGCTGCTTTAATCAGAACCTTTAAGGAAAGGAAGAGTGAGACGGAGAGGTCAAGGTGAAGAGGAGCTTTAATGTGTATCATATTCCTAGCCTATTCCAACCCTCTTCTTTAGTAGAAGCAGCAGGAAAGGCAGCTCTGGATGTTGTTGGAAATTCTGGAATCTGCTTGCACAAACAAGAGTAACCAGTATTTTAATAGTCTCCCTGTGTCTACCCTTGCCCCTCACACAGCTACCACTGAATGACTTTTTAAAACTATAAAGCAGATCGTGTCACTCCTTCACTCAGAACCCTCCACTGGTTTTGACCTCACTCAGAGTAAAATCCTAAGTCTTTACCATGGCCTAGAGCATCTCTCATGATCTGCATGTTCCTTTCCTCCAGGCCTCTGTGGTCTCACATCACTATGACTACTGGCCTTCTTGCTCTTCCTTAAAATACCAAGCACACTCTTGCACCTGGACCTTAGCACTTGCTATTCCTTTTACTCGAAACATCTTTCCCCTAGATCACCACACATTTCCACGTCCACATCTCCTTCAAGTCTTGGCTCAGGTCTTGCCTTCTCAATGAGCTTAAGTGTGGACTACCGCATTTACACTGCAAGTTCTCTACCCCCACTGACACTACTGACGTCCCTCCTGGCTTCATTTGTCTATGTAGCACTCATAACTATGCAGTATTCATGTATTTATTTATATTGCATTGTTGTTGTGTGATGCTTCTTAAGGTCGTTTGCATTTGTCCCAGGTATAGGCTATATCTCCTTACATCAATATGTAGCCCTGCTGAGCTCAAGCAGAGCCCCTACCCAGGTTAATGTTTTTCAGGGGGAGTGAGGGCCTCAAAGTATAGGAGATAACAAGAAGAAACTTGACCAGTGTTGCTATAAGAAATGTTATCACCGAGAGTCCGGTTTTGCACAGCATGAATGTGACTGAGAGCAACTGGTGAGGGGTTGTACAGTTTGGAAACAAGTAGGAAGAAATCCCTTTGGTAAACATTTGCTGAAACCTTCTTTCCGGCAGGTACTGGGATGCAGAGATAATAGCTGGCATGTACTGGTGTAAGTTACTTTAATTCAGCTGCTATTCTTGTCTTTATTTCTCAGGTGGTGAAAGTGAAGCACAGAGAGGTTTAGCAACTTGGCCAAGATTACAAGGTTTGCAATCAGTAGCGTTCCAACCCCTGTAATCCAACTCCACACTTCATGGTCCAAACTCCTATGCTATACTTCCAAGTGCGGGGTACACAGCATTGAAATATATAAGCAGCTGATATAATTAATACTTACCGAGCACAAGTCCGTCATACAGTATGTTGTGAGGTTAAATAAGCGCTGTGAACAAAAGGAAAGCTAGGAGGGTAAGGAGGGATGGCCAAGGTTACAATTTTAACGGAGGATGGTCATGGGAAATCTCACTGGGTAGGTTACAGTTTATCGAAAGGAGTTTGGCTTCTCCACTAAGGGCAACAGGGGGACATGGTAGGCTTCTGAGTAGAGGAGGGCTGTGATCAGAATTAGCTTTTAGACTGGTCTTTCTGGCCAAGGGGGAGAGAACAGACTTTAGGCAGATAAGGTTAGGAGCAGGTCGACCTATTTACTTCGGGCAAGAAATGACTGACTGTAAGTTGGGCTAAGATGATAGCACTGGAGGGTGAGAAACTGCTGGATTCCCTGCGAAGCGGTATCTATTGGGCATTGAGAGAGGCGTTCAAAATTAAGACCAAAGTTTTTGGAATTGTGAACTTGCCATTAATTGGGATGACGCGAGAGTGAGACGGCTAGCTTAGCGATGGGGTGGGGAGACGCGCTCTGGCACGTAAGTGGCTCCTTAGGCACTGCAGGCAGGGAAGCTTCTTTCTAAGCGCTTCTCATTGCAATGGTTTTTTAAGCGTCTTTGTCTACTGGACAAAGTCAGGCACATACAAGCACTGATAAATACGTGCTCAACGGTGACACTAGTCAGCTTTACTTTTAATAAAGTAGTGGGTAAAATAGGCCTTACTAGGGGACGGCGAGGTGACGATCGGGTCTCAAGAAACTTCCCTGCAAGCTCCTCCCTCAGAGCCGGCTCTCTGCGCACGCGCGTCTCGGCGCAGCTGCTGGGCGGGGCCGCAGAGCCTTGTGACGCCCCTACGCGCGGGGTGGGAAGTGCCCGCGAGGCGCCCGGCCCGCCCTCTTCCGCCGCCGCCGTGGGAATGGAAACATCTGCCCCACGTGCCGGAAGCCAGCTTGCGGCGATGACTGCGCGCTACTCCGCGCCCTACCGCGCCGAAACCCTGCGGGTGTCATCGCGAGACGAGCTCGCCGAAATGGCCGCGTCCAGTCAAGGTAGGGGCGGGCGCGCGTCGCGCTGGCGCCACGGGGAGCCGCCTTTCTCGGCTCCGGAAGGGGAAGGGCTGTGCGCCCGCGGGTCCTGGCGGAGCTCCCCCGGGAGTTCTGGCAGCGCGCGGACCGGAGGGCGTCACGGGCTCGCCCCTGACCTTGCCGCTCCCAGGGTCCGGCCAAGGTCAGGCGCCAGGCTGGGACCGAACTGCCCCGGGGTGTGGTCGAGTTGGGCTCAGTCAGCCTTCCGGCGCCGCCCCGGAGACGTTCTGTCCTCGTTCTCGGAAGCGCCCCGGCACTTTCAGCCTGCGGCGGCGGCTCTGTCCCTTTGCCGGTCCGCCTCAGACCCTTGGCAAACCTCTTTCTGTGTGCAAAGGAGCCTCCTGCGCTGTTGATGCTTTTGAAAGAGTAGTGCACGTGGGATTGTACTTGGAAATAGTTGTGTGTTGTTTTTTTTTTTAAATTTAGTCCGTGTACTCAAAGAAGATTCTCTATAATAAAATACACGGAGGAGCATGGCTTTAAGTCACGCTTCTTTCCCTACTAATTAATTACCTTGCTTCACGTCATACTCATTTCGGTACTGGATCACAAGATCCCATTGCGAAACATGGCCATCATCGAGACCCAATTATATAAACCTAAAATTACATAAATTATATTGAAAACAAAGACAGTGAAGATACTCAGAATTCATCACTTTTTAATTATCTGCTATGGTATGCTCTTTACTATACTCTTGACGTTATTTACATCTATGCTGTGTGATGGAAATAACAGTATGGGATGCTACTGTGTACATCTCTTTCCAACCCTGCGTTCAGTTATGTCACAGTTCCATGATGTCACACTCACGGGGAGTGAGTACCTCGTGGAAATTGATACACCCTAGAGATCACACCCAGCCGCTTGTTAAACATTGACCAGAACCCTACCGAATTTATGTGACCAAGGGGTTGAAGTGCACAATGTAATTCTTTTCCATGACCCATAAACAAGGCTAAATGACTTTTGTCTACATACTGGTTAAGAGTGTTAGTCGAATAACTGAGTGAAGTTGCAGGAACTAAACGTCTCTGATTTGCTCCCCCTTTTCACTGGAGCCTCCAAAATTATATTAAAAGAAAACTCAGGGGCACCCGGATGGCACTGTAGGTTAAGCGTGGGATTCTTGGTTTCAGCTCAGGTCGAGATTTCAGGGTGGTGAAATCGAGCCCCCCATGGGGCTCTGTGCTCAGCAGGGAGTTTGCCTGAGATTCTCTCCCACTCCCACTGTCCCTCACCCATCTCTAAAAGAAATCTTGAAAAAAAAAAAAAACCTCTCAAAACTCATTCTCGGTGGGCTTTTTTTTTTTTAATACTTTTTTTTTTTTTTAAAGATTTTATTTATTTGACAGACAGAGATCACCAGTAGGCAGAGAGGCAGGCAGAGAGAGAGAGAGGAGGAAGCAGGCTCTCCACTCAGGAGCCAGACACGGGGCTCGATCCCAGGACGGTGAGATCATGACCCGGGCCAAAGGCAGAGGCTTAACCCACTGAGCCACCCAGGCGCCCCCCTTTTTTTTTTTTTCATTCTTGTTTTCAGTGATATTGTTTAACACAGGGAGAGAATTTCTTCAACATAGCAGTAATGTTTTACTGTTCTTTTGTACTGGTGTCTAATGTTGTTACATTAGAAAAATAATTTTCATGTAACTGCTTGTAAACCCATGTAATACCTAGTTCCTCAAACATCCATATTTTGGTTCTGTTAAATTGGGATCTATGATCCATGTTGAATTATATTTTGTGTATGATGTAAGGTAGTGATTGCATTTTTTTTTTAGTACAGATACCTAGTACTTCTAACACAATTTGTTAAAACACTCTTTCCCTGTTAAATTGCCTTGGTGACATGTTCTTGAAAATCGAATGGGTATGTGTACATCTGCTTGTGGACTCTGTGTTCTCTTCCATTCATATTTGTGTGTCAGTTCCACACTGTCAAATATAATAGTTTTGTAAGTCTTGACCTTAGGTAGCTGTATTCCACTGTAGCTTTGTAAGAAGTCTTGAAATTCCTTGAACTTTGTTCTTTTTTTGTTGTCAAAGATTCACTTATTTGAGAGAGAGAGCACGTGAGCAGGTGGGGAGTGGGGGAAAGAGCAGGGGAGAGGGGTAGATGGGGAAAGAATCCCAAGCTGGCTCCTCTCTTGACTTGAGCTGAAACCAAGAGGAGAGGATTAACTGAATGGGCCACCCAGGCGCCCCAAACTGTTCTTTTACCCCCAAAGCGCTTTTGACCACTTGTGGCACATTGTATTTCCTAAATGATTGCAACAGTATCTTTCATTCCACCTGCTCTTAGTGTGACTTTGAACTCCTCCCACTCAGTGTTGGGATCTACATATTCCCTCTTGAATCTGTGTGGGAGTTTGTGACTGCTTCTACAGAAAGTGGTGGAAGTAACACTGCATGGCTTCCAGAGCCAGGTCTTAAATAGTTAACAGCTTCTGCTTAGCCCTCAAGCTGCCTCCCTGCTCTCTCACTGCCTCCCTTGGAGTGCACCCTTGAGCCCAGGCACCATGCTGTAAGGAAGTCCAGATGAACCCACATAGAGAGGCAGCCTGTGTGTGTGAGTGTGAGAAATGATTCCGGACCTTCTGCCTGTAAGTCTTCCAGCTGACTCCTCAGACATCACAGAATAGGAATGGACTGTAATGCCCTATCCTGTCTGAATCCTGACCCGCAGAATCTAAGAGCATAATACATTATTGTTTAGCTCCATGAAGTTTTGGGGCAATTTGGCACAGTACCTGGAACACTACTCCAGGTGAGTCCTTTCATCTCCGTGTAGATTTAAGAACCAGCTTGTCCACTTCTAGGTAAAAATGTACTCTTTGACTGGGATGGCATGGAGTCTGTAGATGGAGAGGGAGAGAGGGAACATCTTAACAGTATGGCCTTTTGCAAAACAAAGTATTGCGTCAGTTTCAGTCATCTTCACTTGCTCTCTGCAGTGTCTTGTTCTTTACAGTGTAGAGGTCTTGTGTCTCGTTCATTAAATTTATCCCTGCATTATATTCCCACAGAAAATGGGATTAGACATTTTGTTCACTTTTTCCTTTCTTGGGCAAATCACTTAACCTCTGACCTTCTGTTTCTTAATTATAAAGCAGGGTAATAAATAGTAACTTGTTTTGTACCTACTGTGTTCTGTGGATTTAATTAGGTATACATGTTTATTGTTTAGCACATTGCTTGGTGAATACTAACAGCTCAATTGAACATTACCTTTTATTTTTATTATCAATGGAGATCCATATAGTGGTAAGAATTTGTGAATTTGAGGGCTAAATAGTATTGAGGTATTCTTGAAAAGGAGAGGCAAGTGAAGAAAATCCGTTTTATTTAGGATAATTATTATTACTATCAGGTTTTGTACAGCCATTGGTTGTTTTTAAATATGAGAGGAAAAACTAGGCTACTAATTCTAAATTGTCTAGTCGTTTTTTCCTCTAAGACAGATCATTATTTGTTGATTTTTTTTAAGGATTTTATTTATTTATTTGACAGACAGAGATCTACAAGTAGTTAGAGAGGCAGGGAGAGAGAGAGAGAGGAGGAAGCAGGCCCCCTGCTGAGCAGAGAGCCCGATGTGGGGCTCGATCCCAGGACCCTGGGATCGTGACCCAAGCCAAAGGCAGAGGCTTTAACCCACTGAGCCACCCAGGCGCCCCCATTATTTGATGATTTTAGTCTGCTTTTCAAGTCACTAGCTACAATTTCAGAGTTAATTTGCCATTTAAAATAGAATATTTGCAGGTTTTTACTACAATACCCATTTCCTTAAAAATCTCTTAAATCTAGTTAAGAATTGTGATTCATTGTAAAAGTAAATATTTTCTTATTCAGTATCTTAATTCTTGTAGGAAACTTTGAGGGAAATTTTGAGTCACTGGACCTTGCAGAGTTTGCTAAAAAGCAGCCATGGTGGCGTAAGCTGTTTGGGCAGGAGTCTGGGCCCTCGGCTGAAAAATACAGCGTGGCCACCCAGCTGCTAATTGGAGGCGTTACTGGATGGTAAGTGATGAGAATGATGTCCAGTGTCTTTTTTGCATGATTTGGCTTTGCAGTTACACGAACCTTCTCCTTAACTAATGAAAGCACATTGACTTTTGTGACATTGATCACTTAGTGTGTAGCATTCATGTAAACATAGTACTTATTACATGCCAGGCACTGTTTTGAGTACTTAAATATTTCATTTCCTTCTCACAACAACTCTGAAATTGGTACTGCATTGTCTGTCCTCATTGTTCTTCCAGTTTTATTGAGAAAGAACATCAAACATCACTTTATTTAAGGTTTGATTTACATCTACTGTGAAATGATTACCACAGTAGGGTTAGTGAACATTCATCATCTCATACGCATATAATAAAAAGAGAAGAAAAAAAATTTCTTCGTGAGACGAAAACTCTCAGAATCTACTCTCCTAACCGTTTCTTGTACACCATACAGCAGCGGTAGCTATAGTCCTCACGTTGTACATTACCTCCCTAATACTTCCTTCTAAGTGGGAGTTTGTACCTTTTGACCACCTTCATCTAATTCCCCCTCCCCCAGCCCCCTGCCTCTGGTAACCACAGATTTGATCACTTTTCCTATGAGTTCTGTGTGTGCTTGTTTTAGATGGCGTATATAACGGGGATCATACAGTATTTGTCTGTCTTTGTCTGACTTCTCACTCAGCATAATGTCCTCAAGGTCAGTCCGTGTTATCACAAATGGTAGGATTTCGTTTTTGGATGGCGGCATAATACTCTGTGGTGTATGTGGGGCATGTGTGTATATCACGTTTATCCGTTCATCCACTGATGTATCTCAGGTTGTTTCCATGACTTGGCTATTGTAAACAGTGCTGCAGTGAATGGGGGGTGGCGGATATCTTTTTGTGTCGGGTTAGGGTTATTTCCTTTAGATATATTTCCTGAGGTGGAATTGCTGGATCCTGTGATAGTTCTATTTTTAGTTTTTTAAAAGATTTTATTAATTTGTCAGAGAGAGAGAGCACAAGCAGGGGAATGGCAGAGGGAAAGGGAGCTGAGCAGGGAGCCCAATGTACAGTTGGATCCCAGGACCCCGGGATCATGACCTGAGCCAATGGCAGACGCTTCGCTGACTGAGCCACACGGGTGCCTTTTTTTGATTTTTTGAGAATCCTCCATATTGTTTTTCACAATGGCCGTACCAATTTACAGTTCCACTAAGAGTATACAAGAGTTCACTTTTCTCTACACCAAGAAGTAGAGAACACAAACATACACAAATATTTTAGTACTTATGGATACTTCATTTCCTTCTCACACCAACTCTGACATTGGTATTGTAATTATGCTCATTTTGTAGGAACTGAGGCTTAAAAGGCCCAGGGCCATATAGATACAAAGCGGTATCATTAGGAGCCAGCCAATAACTTCCTCAGTTGTGACACAGCTTATGGCTTCATTTGTAACAAATTCAAGGAATATATAATGCATCAATCTCATCTCTACTTTTTACATTTGAAAATGTTATCGTACAAGATAATGTAAGTACAGAATAGCACCTATAATATGTGTACACTTTAATGAATACATATAGAGCAGACACCTATGTAACCACCACACGGGTAAAAAAAATGTAACTAGCACTCCAAAAACTCTAATGCTGTACTGATGATTATGCAGTTTTTTCTTTGTAGTTGTAACACCAGTTCTATCAGTAACTAATATACTATAGTTAAGCTGCTTTTGAACTTTAAATAAATGCAATTATGTGTATTCTTTTGAGTCTTACCTTTTTTGCTCAATTTGTTTTGTGTGTAGTTGTAGTTTCTTTGTTTTCATTTGTATATAGAATTTCATTGCATGATATACCATACTATTTTTATCCAGGTGATGACTGACATTTGAGTTGATTCCATTTTTGGCTAATTTTTAAAAATATTTTATTTATTTATCTGACAGTGAGTTAGAGAGCATAGCAGGGGGAGCAGCAGAGGGAGAGGAGAAGCAGTCTTGCCCTGAGCAGGGAGCCCGATGTGGAGCTCCATCCCAGGACCCTGAGATCATGACCTGAGCTAAAGGTAGATGCTTAATGACTGAGCCACCCAGGTGTCCCCAGTTTTTGGCTAATTTAAAAAATGCTGATAGGGACACTGTACAATTAATTTCCTGGTGTGTATATATGCACATTTTTGTATGATCTGTACCTAGGAGTTGCATTGCTAGGTTATAGGACATAAGTATCTAACTTTGCTGGGTAATGTCAAACTGCTTTCCAAAAGTAGTATTAACAGTTTAGCCTCCCAGCAACAAGGATTGAGTGTTATTGATGCTCTCCATTCGTGTGACCACTTGATATTGCCAGACTTAAATTTTTACTGGTCTGATAATTGTATCTCACATGTTTTTCATTTATACTTTGCTAAATAGTGGTGACGTTGACTAACTTCTATGTATTGTTCTTGACCATTTTGGATCTCTTCTTTGATAAAGTCTCATTTTTAATCTTTTGTTAATTTTTCTGTTAAGTTGTCATTCTTTTTCTTACAGAGTTACAGCAGTTCTTCATATATTCTGAATAGGTGTCCTTTGTTGGTTTATGTTTTACAGGTATTTTTACTCATTCTGCATTCTGTGATTGTCTTTTCATTTGCCTTTTGGTATCTTTTGATGCACTGATCTTATTTTTAATATAGTCAATTTTACTGATCTTTACCTTAATGGTTAGTAATTTTTGTGTCCTGTTTAAGTAATCTTTGCCTACTGCATATGCTAGAACTTTATTTCTTTACCTTTCACATTTACATTTATAAATCCACCTGGAATTGTTTTTTGTGTTTGGTTTGTGGTAGATTCCTCTTTCTTTTTTTTCATGTGGAATACCCTGTTGTCCCAACTCAGTTTATTCCAAAAGTTATCCTTCCCCCATTACTCTGCCACACTCTCTCTGTTATATGTCAGGCATCTCTGTGTGTGTAACTGCAGTTTTGTTTCCCAGGAACTTTTTGGCTATTCTTTATTTTTTTAAACAGTTTAGTAAATAAATTGCCAAATCAGAAGTATAAACAAGTATACAATTGTTTAAAAGTACAATTTAACTTACTTTTTAACTTACTTTCTTTAACAGTACAATTTAGGGGCGCCTGGGTGGCTCAGTGGGTTAAGCCTCTGCCTTCGGCTCAGGTCATGATCCCAGGGTCCTGGGGTCGAGCCGCGCATCCAGCTCTCTGCTCAGCAGGGAGCCTGCTTCCCTCTCTCTCTGCCTGCCTCTCTGCTTACTTGTGATCTCTGTCAAATAAATAAATAAAATCTTTAAAAAAAAAAGTACAATTTAAACAAGTATACAATTTGAGGGATGCCTGGGTGGTTCAGCTGGGGAAGTGTCTGCCTTTGGCTCAGGTCATGATCCCAGGGTTCTGGGATAGAGCCCCCAATCTGGCTCCCTTCTCCCTCCCCCTCTGCCCCTCCTCCTGCTTGTACTCTCTCTCTCTCTGTCAAATAAATAAATAAAATCTTATAAATTATACAATTTGATAAATTTTGACATATACATATGCATAAATCATAGCCACAATCAAGGTAATGAACACATCCATCACTCTAGACGTTTCTTTGTACCTCTGCCTAATCCCTTTCATGCCCCCACTAACCTCTGATCTGCATTCTATCACTGTAGACTACTTTGTATCTTCTAAGAATTATATATAAATGGAATTATACAGTATGTGTTCTTTTTTTTGTCTGGCTGCTTTCTTCTGGTTAGCGTACTAATTTTGAGGTTCATCTGTGCTGTTTCTTTTAAATCAGTAGTTCAGTCCTTTTCCTTGATAAGTAGTAGTAGTCTGTTGTGTGGAAGAACCATTTTGTTTATCCTTTACCTTTGGTGGATATTGGTTTGTTTCCACTTCGGGGCCAAAACTGCTATGAACATTTGTGTACGAGTCTTCATGAACATATGCTTTTCTTTCTTTTGGGTCAGTACGTAGGAATAGCATGGCTGGGGGTTGTAAGTGGAATGCCTTAACTTCTTAAGAACCTGGCATACACTTTTGTGAAATGCCTGTACTGTCTTACACCTCTGCCAGCAATGTAGGACAGTTCCGGTCTTTCCATGTCTTCACTAGCTCTTGGGCATGATGCCTTTTTGATTACAACCATCAAGTGGTATCTCATTGTAGTTTTAAGTTGTAGTTCCCTAATGATTAATGATATTAGCATCTTTTCATGGCCTTGTTTTTGCCATCCATCTATCTTCGATGAGGTATCTGTTCAGATCTTTTGTCCATATTTTTATTGGGATGTTGGTTTTCTCATTACAGAGTTATAAGTGTTCTTTACATATTCCAGATACAACTTTTATATCAGATATGTGATTTGCAAATATATTCTTCTACTTTTTAGCTTTTTATTCTCCTAACAGTAAAGAACCGAAGTTCTGAACCTTGAAATGTAATTTATCAACTTTTTTTGTAGCTCTAGCTTTTTTTTTTTAAATTTATTTGACAGAGAAAGAGACACCACAAGTAGGCAGAGAGGCAGGCAGAGGGGGAGGGGGAAGCAGGCTCCCCACAGAGGGGAGAGCCCGATGCGGGGCTCAATCCCAGGACCCTGAGATTAGGACCTGAACTGAAGGCAGAGGCTTAACCCACTGAGCCGCCCAAGCGCCCCTGTAGCTCTAGCTTTTGATGTCATGTCTGAGAATATTTTCCTAATCTAGGATCTCTAAGATTTTCTTCTTTATTTTCTTCTAGACGATATATAGGTTTAGATTTTTCATTAGGTCCATGATTCATTTTGATTTACTTTTTGAATATGTTGCAAGGTAGGAATCTAAGTTCTTTATTTGCGTATGATAACTAATTGTTTTGATGAAAAGACTATACTTCTCTATACTGAATTGCTTTTGTACTTTTGTCAAAAATCAATTGACTAGATAGATGTCTGTTTCTGAACTCTTTTTTTTAAGATTTTGTTTTTAGGTAATCTCTATCCCCGATGTGGGGCTCGAACTCTCATGACCCTGACATCAGGAGTCACATGCTCTTCTGACTGAGCCAGCCAGGTGCCTCTGTTTCTCAACTCTTTGTTGTTGTTGTTGTTGCTTTTTAAGTATTTTTAGTTTCAGTTTTAGTTTTTAAGTAGGCTCCATACCCAGTGTGGAGCCCAGTTGTGGGGCTTAAACCCACAACCATGAGATCAAGACCTGAGCTGAGATCAAGAGTCAGATGCTTAACCGACTGAGACACCCTGGCGCCCCTGGACTCTTTGTTAAGTGGATTTGTCAATCTTTGTGGTAGTATCACACTGTTTTTATCACTGTAACTTTATAAGTCATGAAATCAGGTAAATCTTACAACTTTGTACTCTTTTGAAGTTGATAGGACAGTTCTGGGTACACAGCATTTTCATGTGAATTTTGACTGGGATTGCATTGATCCATAAACCATGTTTAGGTTTCTTTCAGTTTCTCTCAGCAATGCTTTGTAGGTCTTGCACATCTTAGTTTTTGATATTATTATAAATGGTATTTTTAAATTTCAACTTCTGACTGTTCATTGCTTGTATATAGAAATGCAGTTGGGTTTTGTATATGGCTCTTTTATACCGCAGTCTCACCAAAGTCACTTACTAGCTTGCAGAGCTTGGGGATCCCCTCGGGTTTCCTGGGAGGATATTTGCCTTTATGCTTTCCCCCTAGAATCCTTCTCCACAGTTTAGCCAGAGTCATCTTTTAAAGTGCAACCCAGGGGCGCCTGGGTGGCCGAGTTGATTAACTGTCTGCCTTCAGCTCAGGTCATGATCCTGGAGTCCCAGGATCCCTGCTGGGCAGGGAGTCTGCTTCTCCATCTGCCCGTCCACCTGCCCGTGCTCTCTCTCAGATAAATAAATACATAAATGTTTAGATTTGCTCAGGACCACAAAATCAGTAAGTGGTAGAGCTAGGATTTGAATCAGGGTCTTGGTGAGTTCAGAGCCTCTGCTCTCTGCTGATACAGCGTAAGAGTGGGAAGGAGCTGGGTCATCCCAAGGTAAGTAAGATCTGAACATTGTTAGACGTGCATGTACGTGTGCACTTGACAGCCTGTCCACTTGTCTGACGTTGCTTTGGTTTTTGTAGGTGCACGGGTTTCATATTCCAGAAGGTTGGAAAGTTGGCTGCAACAGCCGTGGGAGGTGGCTTTTTTCTCCTTCAGGTCTGTATGTGAAATATCCCCAGATGTTTGGAAATCCCCCTTGCCCATGAGGAATGCAGTATGAGGAGCTGTAACATAGTCTTGGGTATATTATTCTAGAATAGCCTTTGCACTTATTTTCAGCATACTATTTGAAATGCTAGTGACCATTTGAATCAAATTTCACCAGTTAGTAGTCACATTTTGTTTCGGAATCTGTGACATGGGGACATAGCACATATTCCATATCATAGCTCCCTTGTAGGGTTTTTAAGACCACTTGAAATATTAAATAAATGTGATTTCATAAATATGAAGTGTTATGCAGGGCCCTGTGGTAGGGTTTATTTTACATAGGAAACACTGATTCTAGAACAGTCAGTGAGAAATGAGGGCCAAATGACAGTCTGGTCTGACATCCTGTCTGCGCCAGATGGGCCAGAGTTTATTTCAGAACTACGAGGTATTGGTTTGCAAACTTGACTCCATGTTGGAATTACCTAAAGAGTTTTAAAAAGTGCTTATGCTTGAGGCCTGCCTCCTGCCCTCTCCCCACCTGATTTCATAGGTGGAAGGTCTGCTCACACATTTAAGTGGTTTTTTTTTTAAAGGTTTTATTTATTTATTTGACAGAGAGAGAGCACAAGCAGAGGGAATGGCAGGCAGAGGGAGAAGCAGGCTCCTGCCGAGCAGAGAGCCTGATGCGGGACTCGATCCCAGGACACAGGGATCGTGACCTGAGCTAAAGGGAGACGCTTCACTGACTGAGCCCCCCCAGGCGCCCTCACATCTAAGTATTTTTAAGAGTCCTGAGGTGATTCTTATGTGGAGCAGAGTCTGAGAACCACTGCTCTGTAGGAGCCATAACTTGTTGAATTGTGCCCCAGTCTCTGAATTCATAGCCCTTTGTGTCCTGCAGTTGACAGCCCTCATTTTAGCAGGGTAAGTGCTACCTTTGAACCGTAGGAGGAGTGAGTTTTCCACTTGGGTCAGGCGAAAGTTCAGTATGTGGGAGAAGAAGGCTGGTGACAGCCAGGCCTGGCTGGTGGCCGGGTTAGGGCATGGTGTTGCCCCACAGCAGATTCCCTCGAATACAAAGCTTGACATAACCACCATTTTATTATCTCTCACAGTTTCTGTGGGTCAGTAATTTGGAGAGGGTAAGGTGGGTGCCTGTGGCTGCGGGTCTCATGGTTACAGGTAGGAGGTGGCTGGAGCTAGAGAAGCAGAGCAGGCCGGGGCAGGTCTGGGCCTCTCGGTGCCTCTCTGGCAGGTCAGACTCCCTGCGTGGCGGTGGCCCTCCTCACACCTTTCCCTGTCCTTCCTCTCAGCCCTTCAGGCAGAAGTGCAGTGACAGCTGTCCCTGTGGTCCCCCACACCCTGCTCCAGACTTGACTTTGTAAATATCTTAGTGTTGCTTTGAAATAGCTTTTTAACTTTCATCTTAAACTTTTTTCACTTGAAGTATATTTGACGTACAATATTAGTTTCAGGGTACAGCATAGTGATTCATTATTTATGTACATTACAAAATCTCTTAATCTCTTATTCTTGGAAGCAATTGATACTGAAAGGATCACCAGGAAAGATTCTCATGAGTCAGGTAGTCAAGGAGTACAGAGGTTCCTCCTGGCTAGGGGAGGCGGGTGGCACCTGGGGAGTCAATGCTGTGCACTCAGCTCTTGGTCACTGGAGGGATGTGGTGGCCATAAAGTAAATGTGGGAAGAATTAATGTCTTTTATGATAATGAGTCGTCTGTGAATATGTGCTTTCTCTCCATTTATTTAGGTCTTTAATGTCTTCGCATAGGCTTTAAAATGTCTTTTCATATACATCTTCTCCACTGTGCCTTGATTTTATCCCTAGATACCTCACACCTTCAGTTACCCGCAGCCTTCTTGGCCGCACGTCAGCCCCAGTCTCCAGCTGGACTCATAGGCTTATTTGCTATCCACATAGCCTTTTTAGAATGAGACAGTTTTTTAACCCAGCATTTGTTCTAATGCTTTTTTTTTTAAGATTTTACTTATTTATTTGGCAGTGAGAGAGCTAGCACAAGCAGAGGGAATGGCAGGCAGAGGGAGAAGCAGGCTCCCCATTAAGCAGGAGCACAATGTCGGGCTCAGTCCCAGGAGCCCGGGATTGTGACCTGAGCTGAAGGCAGACGCTTAGCGACGGAGCCCCCCAGCCGCCCCTATTCTAATGCTTCTTGTTGGCAGCTGCCACCGGTCTAGCAATTCTGTCCAGATCCCTCTGTCCCTGAAGTGTCAGTTCACGGCCTCCGTCTTGGTCCTTTTCCTCCATTTTTAGCCCCACTAGACCTTGGAGGACCCTATGGAACATGCTTTTGGAGCCCCTGCTGAAGTGGCCCAGAATGACCCCATTTCCCTGACGTTCCCCATGGATCTTGATCGTGGAGAGGAAGAGCAACAATGCCAGAGGAGACTGTAGAGAGGAGTTTCAGTTTTAGATATTTTGAGAAGTTCAGATAGATATGACTTCCCAAAACTTTGGTGGAGAGAAGTGACATTGATGGAAGATTGACTGATGGGCTGTAATGAGTCTCTTCAGTTCCTTGGGTAACATTCATCCATCAGAAAACAACATACTGAAATCAGTTTTATCCTATTCACACATTCTCAGTGAAGGTGTTTTCACTGAGCTTTAGTGTTTGTGCCTGCTGTCTTCACTCAGGGAAGTAGGCGGATTCTATGCAGTATTTGGATGTGTTTCCCTCAGTGCCACCGACATGGAGTTGCTCTGGAGGGAGCTCTCTGGGGCCGTGCACTAGATTTCTTTCTGAGCTGATAGCGATTATGTTGGCTGTGAGGTCCGTAAGGTTTCTTTACCTTACGTCTTGACTTTCAATTCTGAAAGTCAGAAGGGTTTTTCGGGAAGTACTTCAGTGACTCAATTGTAATGAACAGAAATAACAAGCCTGTGTTTCTTGTTCTTTGCCGTCATTATCGAAACGATAGCTTGCGAACCATACTGGGTACATCAAGGTTGACTGGCAGCGAGTAGAGAAGGACATGAAGAAAGCCAAGGAGCAGCTGAAGATCCGTAAGAGCAACCAGCTGTCTACGGAGGTCAGAAGCAAAGCGGAGGAGGTGAGGGGTTCGTTCGCCTGCGGTGTGAGGGGTGTGGACAGTGGGGCAGATGCACCGATGGGCCAGCCTCAGCGCATACTTAAAGCTGGGTAATTGACGTGCCGGTGACTTCTGTCAGGGAGTGTGAATGTGAAATGATCGTTTACGTATGTGGTTTGGTCGTGCCTTGAATTCGTTCTGCAGCAAGTGGGACGCAGACGGTTTTGCATCACACTTTGTCTCCGTGCGCGCGCTCCTCTGAAATGTGCGCCCTGGACGTGCTCACATAACCAGCAGAAGCTTCGACCTCAGAGGTCGGCAGCCTGTTCTTTGTGAAGGGCTGGGTGATAAATATTTCCAGCTTTGTAGGCCCTGCAGTCTCTGTCACAACTCCTGAGCTGCGGTGTTGCAGCGAAACTTCATTTAAAAATGGACAGCATTTGCTCGCCTCCGCTCCGACACGTGAGACCAGGTTAGGTTATACTGGTGGGCACTTGAGAGGGACAGGAGAAGTCCTTCTTTTTTAAAAGAATTTTGCTACTTTATTACCTTTGGAAATATATTAAATGTGCCGAAGAAATAAGTGCTCTGAAGTGGGGAGAAATAAACTTGGATCAAACTGTCAGGAAGGTTCTGGGTTCACAGAGAAAAGGGATGGAATAAGTGCAGAAGAGGGATTTAGGCGGAAATTGAAACAGGCCTTGAAATGTTGCTGAGTGATGGCAACAAAATAAAACAGGTTAAACCCATAAAGACCAAGAGAACAGGAGAAAAATACCAGAAGACAAGAAATGTCAGCAAGTTTCTAGAAGTTGGAAAACAGGTAGGTGAGTGGTAAATACTGGTCCACCTTGCCGGGTACGTAATGGTAGTTGCTGTGTGGTGGTGGGTAGCAGGCCAGTGTTGGCCCTTTGTCCAAATGGATGGTGGCATCTGTGGGCGCCCAGGAGTGCAGATAGTCCCTCCCACTTGTCTCCCCCTGCCTCAAGCTCAAGGTCATAAAAGTGACAGTTTTTTCATTTTGCCAAAACATGACTATTCACATAATTACAAAAGTAATACGTGATTGTTGAAAACTTCTTCAGTGACATGGGAGGTAATGTAATAAGTCACATTGAGTCACAGAGGGAACTTGTTATTATAAACTATCCAGAAGGTTTGGAATTAGTTCATTCCACAAATTTTTGTATTCCTATTTGTGGCCTGCTACTGTCACAGGCTCCAAGGATAGTGGCTGGTTCCCCCCTTACAGCCCATGTTGTTACTTGGGAAGCCAGGGAATGAGGGTGATAAATTCAGTGTTTAGCAATCAAGTCATCAGTGACTTCAGTGACAACAGTTTTGGCTAAACTGTAGCAAGTTGAGGAATGAGTAGGAAGTAAGACAGTAAAGATAATGAATGAAAACAATCATTTTAGGAATTTGTATGATTTTTTTCATTCCCCCTAAGAATGGTAGATGGCAAAAGACAGTACCTCAGGTAGGGAAATGTGGGGTCCAGTCAAGTCAAGTCAGAGAGCCAGTGAAAGGGACATAGGAAGTCATAGGCGTAATGGGAGTAAGGATGCTAAGGAGTCCCAGGGGGACTGGGTAGTAGAGTGGAGCGGGTTAGGGTACGAGTGGCTTAAATGGTTGGGACATGAAGTCACTGTACTTGAGTTCAAGAAATGATGAGGCCAGGGTACCGGGTATGTTGTCCCAATGAACAGTGTCTCAGGTGGTTGTACTTGGGAAAAAGAGGGAGTCTGGCCCACTTAACCAAAGTTCTCTCTGAAATGAAAATTCATAGAGCATGGGAGCCACAGGGTGCTGAGTACATGTTCTGAGGTGCAGGTGAATGGACAGGAAGAGGTGGAAGTTTTGTGAATTTAAGATATCCTTGTTTTAATCATCCCCTGAGTGGTGAGGTGTGAGAATGCAAATACATAGCTTCTACTCAGGAGGAGGCCTCAGAGGGGGATGGGTGGGGTAGATGGACACATGGACTGAGGGATGGACAGGATGAACAGATAGAAAAATTTGGGAGAGGCTTCAGAATGAGCAGCCTTGATTGGAAAGTAGGTGTCAGAACGAAGGAGTGAAGTTCGAAACTGAGAATTGCCTCTGTAACCAGTTTATTAAATACAGCTTTTTCTCTTTCCCCATAATTTCCCCCATGAACTCTGTCCTTCCCTGTTCCTGAATGAACTCTCGGGCAGATTTCTTAGCTCTCGAACAGACATAACTGAAGACAGATTGCAAGGAGTTGCCTTTGGCTTCTCCTCCTCATCCCTCACATGGCCAGTCATCTGATCAAAGTCCCATTTCAGAAACATCTTTTGAATTGTATCATTTCACATTAACATCCCTGCTACCATTTTTTAAAATTTAATTTTTTCAGTGTTCCAGAATTCATTGTTTATGCACCACACCCAGTGCTCCATGCAATCCATGCCCTCCATAACACCCATCACCAGGCTCCCCCATGCCCCCAACCCCCCTCCTCTCCAAAACCCTCAGTTTGTTTCTCAGAGTCCACAGTCTCTCATGGTTTGTCTCCCCCTCCGATTTCCCTGCTACCATCTTGACCTAGAGACCCAGTGGTGAAGGGATTGACATTGTTAAGATCGCATAGGTAATAGAGATCTGATTCCTAATAATATCCCTAGCAAAATAACCCACTTGTGCTATCTTCTGTTCCTAGGTAGTGTCATTTGTGAAGAAGAACGTTCTAGTGACTGGGGGATTTTTTGGAGGCTTTCTGCTTGGCATGGCATCCTAAGGACAACAACTTCACTTCTGTTACTCCTGTTTTTTTCCAGCCAGCAGCCTCTTCACTCCATCATAGGACATCAAGTCTGTCCTACTTCTTCCATGACTTCCTCCCTGCTGTGGCATATCCGAATGGCTTCTGTAGGCATCTCTCGGTGCAAGTTGATACAGCCCTATTACGAACTTGATGGCAGCGGAAGAGACCATAGATGTTAGCTCTTCTCCCAGCACACTCCCCACTTGACTAATCTGTAGGTCAGCAGAAATGTTCCTTCCCCTTATCCCATATAAGATACTTAACAGACCATGGTATAGGAGACAGCTCACCTTGGAGGTTGGGTGGATCCTCAAAGGTTGTCCCAAACTTGATTTGGAAAAGAAATCACAAGCATAGAGATACCTTATGTGCTGCATGGAAAGGAACTGAATACATTTGCCTTTAAGCATGAAAGACTTGGTATCTGGTGTCTACTTTCTTTTTAGTTGGTTTTAGATTACAGAAAGAGAGCTATTTATATACCTGCTATAATTATCCTGACAAAAATGGCAGTATAAGCACTATAATTGAAAAATCCGAATATGGAATGAACTTGTGCTAAAGGTATATATTCTGAGCTAAAGGTATTGTGTTTGGTGGAAAACCAACTAACAGATATCATCTGATGGTCAAATTTAGTGAATCATTTAGGGGCATTAAGATATTATCCGGGAATGTTTTCTACCATAAAGCACTCACGGCCATTTCCAAAGGGTTTTTTCATGGTAAAATAAGTGACTATAGGTAGGAAAGGGAAGAAGCTCTTGGATTTTTATTTCACAGAAAAGGTTTTAAGCTTCGAAAGGTGAAGTATTATTTACCTCTTGTTGAAACATTAGGGGTAGCCATAGCTCCTTTGTGCCAATTCTGTTTCTTTATCTAATTGGTATGAAATACCTCACATTTCAGCCAGAGTTTTGAAGAGGTGGCATTGCAGGCATTCACAATGGAGAACAGTAGCAATGGCATGTGCGAAGTAAATTACTTCCATCATCACACGTCCTGCTGTCTCACAATGGCCCCATCTCTTAGAATTATTCTTTAAAAGTTTATAGACACACATACACATGTGTAGAATCTTAGCACAGTTTGTCTGCAACCTCAGCTGGAATGTCCGCTTGTGGAGGGGACGGCTGTGTCTTCACCACTACACCCATGGAACTGAGCACTTACTAGGTATCCAGGGTTGGTTGAGTAGCTGAATAATGACCTCGTGATTATAAATGTATCCAGAAAAGGGACTGATCCAAAGAATGATTTGAGACTCTGTGAGTTCTGAGAATGAGGAAAACAGAATTAATTCTTACACTTGTAGGTGATCTCTGCAAAATGTATGTTTTTTTAAGGCCTTCTTTTAATGTGTTTGCCTTTTATCTTGGGAAAAATGGATTGAATTTGGAAATTGTAGCTACCAGTGGATGCGTGGAACTTTTTAGAATTCATCCATCTGCATTTTTTTCTCATTTTAAGGCAATATGTATGAACCATCCCCCAATCATAATGGTATGAGCCTCTGTGTTGCATATTTTTGTGTAAGAACTTAAAGGTTTTCACTTTTTATTATGGAAACTTCCAAACATATCTAAGAGAAAAGTACAATGACCCTCATATTTATCACCCACCTGCAATGATTGTCAAATTGCTTTATCAGTTGTTTTGAAACAATTATAAAATGTATCCTTTCATTATATTTTAGTGTGTATCTCTAAAAGGTAAGAACTGTTTTTAAAAATCATAAATACAGTACTCTACTATCATCCCAAAAATTAAGAGTAATTCCTTAATATCATCAAATATCTGGCCAGTTTTCAAAATTTCCTGTCTCTTAGAGTTTTGCATTTGGTTGTTTGAATCAAAATCCATGTAATGTCTAACCACATTGCATTCAGTCTCTTAAGTCTCTTTTAATCTTTATGTTCTTTTTCTTTTTTTGGGGGGGGCTGCAGTATAGTTACTGAAGACACTGAGTTATTTGTTCCTTAGTTTTCTACATTCTGCTTCTGATGCAGGGTCCCTGGGTTAGGTCATATATGGCAATCAAGGCTGCAGCTCTTCGATGACTTGACCCACGTCATTTACCCAGACCAACAGAATGGTGACTGTAAAACCTAACTCATGTGCCTTGTTCTCCTTTGGGTTGCATGATGGGAAGAGTGACCACCGACTGCCTCTCTAGTGGGATGGGAGTTGCCTTATGTCCATCTATATTTTCCTGTGATTATCGGTGAGGACAGTAGGTCATTCTAACCTTTAATCAGCTTGTAATAGATAATAGACCAAAATAAAACCTGTAAGTTCCTGTGGAAGTTTCTTCCAAGCCTTCTGGGACCCTGAAGTGCATGGTGAAGGTCAGGATTATAGGTGGGCCTCAAGCTGCTGCGATGAGAATGGTCCTGAGTTCTGTCCACCAAGTAGGGCCACCGCTTGTGCCAGAGCGAGGTGCTCTGGTGTATGTGTTGGATTTCAGCAGACGTTTAGGGAGCGTCTAAATTGAGGCCCTGTTGCCAGAGCTTTGTTTGACATGATGACGGGGAAGGTGAGATCTCTCCCAAAAGAACAACTAGCAGCCAACCCATCGTACAAAACCAAGATGCCAGGACCAGGCAGTTGCACACATGATGGGATCATTTTTTTTTGATTAGTGAGACACATACTTTTCTCCAGAACCCAGAGTCCAATAATGTGCTGGGCTTCTCTCTGAAGAAACTGTAGATTTTCTGTGAACGACAGAGGAAGCCAGCGTGTTTGGGAGTTTGGTGCCCCCTGCTGGCAGGGATGTGGTAACACCATACTCGGGGCTTCTCTACCTGTAGTTTGGCCCAGATTAGGACAAACTGCTGTGAATGTGTCTCAATCCTGCCCAGTCCCATCACGGCAGCAACAGTTTATCAAAGGGTGGCTCAGGGTCACAAGGGCACCGGGTGGTGGCCCAGCAGGGCACAGAAAGGGCACAGTAGGGTGCACGGGGGCAGGGTGGCAAAGGGGAGAAAAGCCTTGCAGGTGTTTCAACCTCATGTTTGCTCCGACCTCTTAACACTCAGCCTGGGGACATTCATCAAACAGCGGGAGTCCTGACCCCCCCCCACCTGCCCTACCACGTTGGACTCTTATCTGAGACCTCTACTTTTCTATAGTTTCGGAAAATACAAGAAAGCTCTGCTTGAAGAAATGGTATAGAGATGGATTTGAAATTGCTGAGTATCATTAATGTTTCGCGATCATCTCAGTTTCTTCTCTGATGGAAACTCACTTAAGGCGAAACTAGACTGCTGCTTCCGCCAATTACCAGCTTGGTTTCCGTCATGAAGCCCGGGTACGGGGCTTTCTTCATTGTTTACACAATGTTAGTGTGATCTCTCAGAGAATTGGGCACAAGATACGTATCTTATTCTGGACCTGATTTCCCAGAAATCATGTTCTGTGATGTTTGGTTCTTCTCAAAGAATCATGAATTTTAAGAGCAATATTTTTCTGAAGAAAATTGACAGTGTTGCACTTTTTTCACATTTAAAAAAACCTGTGAAGTCAGCTCATTGACTTACCAAAACTGTCTACCTTTCTGAATTTAAAATGGTCAAGAATGCCATCAGGATTATTGAGAGCAGTGGAGTTTTACAAACTACCGACACGCTCTTCTCCTACAGACGGAGTTCACTGGTCTGTGGCACCTTTGGGTGGTTGCCATGCAACTTTAGATGCCTTCCAGATACCAAACACAAGCGTACAGATGATTAAATGTTAGGAGTTGTGGGGAGTGGATGTGGGGAAGGGAGTTGTCACACCAGCTTCTCTCATCAGTGGATGCTGAAGTTTTCGGATGGAAAGTAGTGAGATACGGCCCTCACCACTGAGCTCTTTTAGTTACTAGTTAACCAAGTGATTAAACTTAGCACCACCAGCCCACTTACAGACTTTTTAGCCTCTAAAAGAGAGATCATAGTTCTCTCTCTCCCAGTTCCTCCCTAGAGACTGCAACTCAGTGCTGCGGTCCCTAACATGGAAAAAACACTAGATGAATGTGGAGCTTTTCTGATGGCTGTTCTACTTTGCTGTGTGTCACCATAGCAGAGAAGAATCCGATTTAATGTCTGCCAATAGATGTTGACTTCAACTGAGACAGGACTGAGCTTAAAGATAGGAAGAAACAATTTATTTCAAGTTTTGAGAGTACCAAGTAAAGTATACCCTAGGGAAAAAAGTTTAAAACAGTCTGAAACTTGAGTAGTTAACTCAAAAATGATTTTGTAATAAAGCACAGTAAAACTATGTATTTGATCATACAGTGATTCCTAGTATAAATCCTAGCACTGCTATCAATTGATAATTTTAAATGTAACTTAACGTGTATATAATGTAAACATAGTTGTAAAATGTTTTATTAAATCATTTCACTGTTCACACAAGAGTTCATTTATTAAATCATTTCACTATTCACACAAGAGTTCATTTAAATGATTTCATGAGAACACAGCACGATCACCCTGGTTTGTGGACCAAACCTCTCTAAGGCAGCGTTTTCTCCAAGTCTCTCTGGGGAACGTTCACCCTGTGAGGGGCTGTCTGCAAAATGGGGACACTGGCAAGTAGTGCATTACATAGTCCTTTTCAAAGAATCATAATTTACAGTAACATATTGAAAGCTTTGGAGCCTTAAAGGAGAAACCTGTTAACTTATGTCTAATGTAACATTCCCCGAACTTATCTGACCACAGAAGCCTTTTGTCCCCTCCCCGCCTTTGACAGCAATTCCTAGAAACACTTTAGGGAATGCTGCTTAAAAGAACAGTTGGTCTCAAATAATGATGGTGTTTGACTATCTCAGACTATCTTACTTTAGTCATTCATGGCAATGTAGGATCCTCCCTGTTCTGGACTGAATGTTTGTGTTCCCAAAAATTCGTGTTGAAATCCTAACACCCAAGGTGATGATATTTGGAGGTGGGTCTTTTGGGAGATGATTAGTTCATGGAGGTGGAGCCCTCATGCCTGGGATTAGTGCCTCTATTGAACAGACCCAGGAAAGCTTGCTCGCTCCCCTCCTGACATGGGAGATGCCTTGAACTTGGACCTCCAGCCTCAGAACTGTGAGAAATACATACATGTCTGTTGTTCATAAGCCAGAATGGACTTAAAACAGCCCGAATGGACTAAGACAGGGACATATCAGAATTTGTTTCTGCCCCTGCTTAGAAAGTCATCTTTTTCTTCTGGGGGCAGGCTGGAGTGATGGTGGTTCTAGCACCTGTTTGAGGAAAGCAAATGGCTTGTTTGATACTGTCACTCTACCACCACCACATGAAGTCACTGACAACTGTCAACAGGCTTCCTAGAGCAGCCTTGTATTAACATGAGGGTTCACTGTAACGTTTTGATTATAATAGATAAACCACCTAAGAATTCTGTTGCTGCCTGCCTGCCTTCCAACGAAGTGTTTTGTTTTGTTTTTCAGTTTTCTCATGATAAATTAGGGGTTGTTAAACATTACAAGAATCATTTCTAGGCCTTTCCTACCACCCTTTGAACAAATATTAAGTGTCTTCTTCTTGCTAGGCACTGCAGTGGGGAGGTAAAAGTAGAAAGAAATGCTCTCACTGGCATCTGGAAGGACACTGTGCTCTGAATTACTGGAAATGCAACGGCATGTAGTCTGAACGTGTCATGGTTGTGGCACTGGAGGGGTGTCTTTTCACCTAACACAGGACGAGTTTTATGAATGGTATTAGTAGTCCAAATTCAAAGGCTAAAGACAACTCATTAACATCTATATCAAGCAATTCTCCAATTCTCAGTGGACACTGACTAGGTGTCCTACAAACTTAATTAAGTTAGGACCCTATCTATCTACTTGGAATTAGTGTCAGATCCCCCAGGTTAGGGGCTCAGTCTAAAAGACTGCCCCAAATTCAAACACCTATTGCTAAGTCCAGATCGTTACCTGTCCTTCTGCCTCACTGGCTATAAGTCTGAGGTTCCCAAGGACATCCTCCTTGGGTTTGATTAATTTGCTAGAGTTAACTACAGAACTCAAAAACATTTACTTCAACATTTGCCAGCTTATTATAAAGGATACAGATAAACAGCTAGATGAAGAGGTACAAAGGTCAAGGTCCCACATACAGGAGTTTCTGTCCAAACCCAGTCCTTTTTGGTTCTTACAGAGGCTCCATTACAGTAATGACTGATTAAATCATTGGCCATCGGTGACTGATTTAACCTCCAGTCCCTCTCCCCTTCCCAGAGGTAAGGGGAGTGTGGGATTGAAAGTTCCAACCCTCTAATCACAGGGTTGGTTCCCCTGGCAACCAGTGTTCATGCATAGGTTACTATGCAAAAGTCACCTCATTAATGTGACAAGACACCTTTATCACTATTATCACTTAGGAAATTCCAAGGGTTTTAGGAGCTGTGTACCAGGAAAGGAGATAAAGACCAAATATATATTTCTTATAAGTCACAATATCGCAAGTACCAAACCAAAATTTTTCACGTAACAGGTTTATTTTAGCAGCTCAGTTTTATTACATTCTACATATTTAATATATTTCTATCTGTTCTGCATAGATGGCATATTCATTAACTTTTATAGTTGACTTTTGTATTTGATATTTGCTGCTACCTGGCCTGAAGAAGGAGTCAGGGAGACAAACTTGCTTGGTGGATACATGGTGCAGCCTTGAACTTTTCAGCAGAACTTTACTTTGATGTAGGCTTCAGTGTCAGCTTTTCTTCCTCCTCTCTTTCAAATCCCGAACAGACGAGCGATCTTCCCTTAGGATATGGAGCGCAACACTTACGCAGTTCCCGGATGACAGCCTGACACTTAGATTCCGTGTAGTTGTTGGCTGAAAAACAGACAGGCAGACCCTAGTCATGATCTCATAGAACTCGGACGCAGGGAAGTTTAGATCAGTGCTTCCCATTCCTTTTCACTTCATTTTATCTGGGGACCTGGAAGAAAGAGGATGCACCCAAATCCATTTAATTCTTTCTGGTGTACAGACCGGTCAACAGGACAATTAGAAAAAAAAGTGGTTGAAAGGCATTTTTACATATAAATTTCCTTTTCTTTCAGGTTAATAACTTACATACCCTTTTCTAGGACCATGGTGGCTGTGGGACGTCCCTACCAAGTCTGTGCAACAGAGGGGGGAAACTGCAGTCTCTGGATAGGGAGCTTTTGATCCAAGTCCCCCAGTGCTAACATGGGGTGCATGGGAGTTACTCCAGGATTTAAAAAAACAAACAAACACTAATTCTGACTAGAAAGAATATAGCAGAGTGGCTGAGTCCAAGCTTGGAGTCAGACCAAAAGGATTCAAACCGCATTGCACCCCTTACTAGACAAGTTATCTGACTTCTGTGTCAATTTATCCATCTATAAAACGGGGGTCATAGCAGCATCCACCTCATGGATGAAAAGACTAAATGACTTAATATGTTTAAAACACTTATGGCTGTGCTTAATGCTAACTCAGTCCTTCCAGCCCTCAATCCTCCCACACTATATCCATATGTTGCTAATTCAAATAAGGTAAGAACTTATTTGGGAGAAGAAGCTGTGAAAAACATTTTCCTTTTTCTTAAATTTGGAGGAAAGAAAAGGATGAATAAAGTAGCATTACTATCATTATACATCAACATTGTAGATTTAAGATTTTATGAAATACTGCTTACATCATAAAATGAAAAGTCTAAGAATGAAACTTAAAAGGCAAAGGAAGTATACAAACAAGGGTTTTCTTTAGAGGTGAATCTTTGGGTAAATTCTTAACATTTTTCCTTCAGACCCTTCTATAGTTTCATGGACTCCCATCTCTATTACTTTACTAATGGGAAAAGTTAACAAAAACATCAGTGTTGAAGTTCAGAAAGCTCTGTAGCTTTTCTATCCGTTCTTCTGCCAGTAATCATTCACTGATTAAAAAAATAATAATAAAATTCTCTAGCATTTGGTCAAACTTATTGGCCAATTTAGAACCAAATTAGGGGGAAAATCAAGTGGACAAATCACATCAAATATGCTTAAGTTGAAATTTGCTTTTTTTAAAGACTTAGTTGCTGACTTGGCAGCCTGAATTCCAATTGCATTTTCAACCCCCATTTCTAATCTGATCGCTTTTAAAAAGTGGGTTTTCAGCCACAGTGAAGTATAACCAACCCATTTAAAACTAGTCTTTTTAAAAAAGGACTTTGCTCAGCTTAGTAATTCTTAACTCTGGCTGTACATTAAAATAACCTGGTTAGCTTTTTAGACTGATTCCTGCCCAGAACCCGTCTTCAGGAAGTCTGATTTAATTGTTCTAGGCAAGAGCTTTTTTAAAAGGTTCTAATGTATTTTAAAGATTTTAGTCTAATGTAGTTTAAAGATTCTAACGTATAACCAGGATCGCAAACATGAAGCTTGGATCATATCACTTTGTATTTTCTGCATCTTTGTTGAAACAATGAGAAAATCTTCAGGATGATTACAGAAATACTACTTTTGAGAGGAGCTCATATCATTTGCTGATAAGAAGAAAAGTTGGTCTCTCGTAGTTAGTTCACAGATAAAGTGGAAAAATATAAAAAAGCATTTAACATACTACCTTGTAAACATTTCTGTATTTCACAGGCTTGTTTCTGGCACGGATCCTTCTGCGGCATATCCAGAAAACTAAAATAAGAAAAACGATTTTTATTTTGTCTTTTATCCATAAAGACTTTAAAGCCCCTCCAGATGGGATTTTCTTCTGAGACAACCAGGTATGCTAGAAAATAATTGCACTAAAAAATACTCTTCCCATTCATAGGATGAATCAACTGTATTTTTATAATATCCATTTCATTCAGTTTTGAAGACATAAATAGCTTTACATGAAAATAAAACCTTGAATTCAATCACCTCATCTTGAATATCGTAAACCAATTGCGGGCTAAAGGAGCCGATGCCACAGACCAATAGGCTTGCCCACTGCTCAGAACCACCCTTGGTAAATGATTAAACTCCTTGAGCCTTTTTCCTTATAATTCATATGCAAAATGGGGGCCATCCCTACGTACCTCAAAGCATTAGTGGAAGGATTAAGTGCACAGAATAGTCTAGCCGGGAAGGGAGGCAGTAAGGATTCAATACATGGTAGATGTGATTCCCAAGATTTTTTTAAAAAAATAAAGCCTTACTTTTAATGTACATAAACAGTTATGACTACTTTAACTCAGAAAATTCTTTATCAGGTAGTAAATGATTTCCTAGGAATCAGTAATATTTGGTGCTATTATTACTTCCTGAGAAAGGTGCTAGTTAAGCAGCTAAAATAATTTTTAGAGCTCTTACAGAAACCAACTTATTTATCTGTAGCCAGAGGATGAATTTAAGTGCCCACGATTTTGATTAGCAACCTCTAAAAATTTGAAGGCACAATTTCAGAAAGGAAAAAGGCCCAGTAGCCTTTGTAGCCCATTTCATTAATTCAAATAATCTCCTCTTTTTTCAGAGCCCCCTAAGTTCTCCGTAAGATCCAAGTTAGGTCAGTACTGGGAGGGGAAACACTGGAGCAAAACCTGGGATATTTACAGGATGGGAGAAGGAAAGGCAGGTGAATTGCGCAGGGCAAATAAGCGACACATAGATGTTGATGCTGCTAGGAGCTGCTCTCTTCTCTCTAAACCAGTACCAAGTCCTTGGTGATCGGGGCATCTGTTCTGTAGCAGGTGCTGACTTTTGTGGGACTCATCAGATCCCAGTTCCAGCTGATGATGTCCATTAACGGTTCTATGGCAATTTCCAAAGGAGTCAATTTCAAGTTACGTATCCTGACTAAGTGCTTTTTTGACTTGCTTTCTGCCTGTGTGAACCCCTCTCTGCAGTTCCACTTGTGGTGTTCTTCATGACCCTTCCTAAGCTTCTGTGTTCTTGAACAGTTTTTCAACCCAGTCCCTCCCCCCAGGCCCACAGGTGGGTGCACTGCAGTGGTGGATGAAGTGATTGCCATATACTGAATAGAACAGAGGAGCATATCTTCCTAGAATCCCAGCACCTGGAAAAAAAAGTAGATCATTAAAATCACAACCAGAGTGAAAAACAAAAAGGGAGAACAGGGGAGAAATAGAAATACATACCAGGTTAATCATCAGGCAAAAGCTTAAGCAACAGCTCCTGTACTCCCCTGACCTGTCAGGAAAAGAAAGTTTATAGAGTTCTCTATTGTAAGAGCCCCCAGTACAATGGAAGACGATTAAGCAACATGGGTACCATTAAATGATGCTGGATCTGCCACAAGCGAGAGTTGTTATCCATGTAGCGTTCCTCAGGGTAGAGTTGCCACATGAGAGGTAGCTGGGAGGTAAGAAGGTGACTTGGTCTAGCTGCGTCACCTAAGGGAACCTGAACTTGCTGGACTCGTGCCCTTAGGGAACTCGTCTCCTAATGGAAAAAAATGATCAAAAATAAAAGCAAAGATTTCAGAATTTTGAGACTGGTTAGAAACCAAGTTGCTTAAAAGCAAAATCAATTTAAAAAAATAAGCAAAATGGAAACACTTACCTCTTCCACGACGGCCACCCACGTGCGCTGGTATTCGTCGCGGTAGATGCCCTCTTGGTGAACCCAGAGGTGATCCGGTGGAGCCCCCACATCCTCTCCTGCCATTCTGGGCTTTGGGTTCCAATTCTAGCCCTGCTTTTCTCCACCTAAGCCTGCAGCACCCGCGCACAGGACACAGGTGTGACTTTTCGGGTTTGAATGAACTCACCAGTGAGCAAGGTGACCTGGAACTAGCAACCACCAACCAGAACAAAAACTATTACATATCTACTTGCACAGCCTGCATGGAGCCGAGGCCATCTGACACTCATCAAGACACTCAAGTGCCACTCAGCAGAGCCTCAGGTCGCGCTAATTCTTGCCTGTGAAGCACTCAGCTCCTGAGCTCAGTGGGGAGCTCTGTGGAGATGTAGGACTAGCACCTCAGGAAGCTGGGCAGTGCTGTCACAGTCTCTGCATTCACAGAGCAGCCTCTGACAAAATGCAGTTAGCAACGGAGTGTGCACAAGCACTTATTTGGGCAGCGATGGATGCGTGTGCCATATTCCCCAGGTAAAAGCCCCTTTCAAGCAATTCCATTTTAAAGGACTGTGAAGGCTGAATTATGTGCATTGCTTTCTAAATTAAAATTCAAAGTTTGTTTTAAGGACAAACAACCTATTTATCAGCTTACTTAGAAAGGTTACTGATAGCAGTTGGGCATTTCCAGATGGGGGTTTTCATGTTAACGAAAATATTTAAGGTAGCTTCATGGAATTCTGAGGCTGCAAAAGACTTTTGGGATCATGGTGATTGGGAGCGGAGAGCAAATGATGGTTATCCATCTAGATCCTTGTTCATTTTAATAATGCTTCAGGATGTCACCGGAACCCGTTTCTCCACAGAGGTGTGCATTTTAATTCTGATTTCACAAGTCATAAGGCCAGAAAAGGCCTCCGCCATTTGAGAGGTGTAAAGGAAGCAAATCTCCTGGGCAAACTCTTTCCATAACGCAGACTCGGCTCTAACCCATAAGGGTTTTCTGCCTAGCTCTGGATTGCATTTCAGGGCCTCACGATTACGTGACCTGCATTTTGCAGGAATGAATAGTTTGTACCTGGCTCCTAGCATCATGGCATGGTTTCGCTGTATTTCTTCCTCTGACAGAGCAGATATAGCATTGGGGGATCTGCCCCACCGAACAAATGCCTCCTGTTCTCACTAGGTGGCCTTTAGGCAGGGGAGGAACTGCAGCACATCTCCGAAGGTTGCTAAACCATTACTGAGATTGCCAAGAGCAAATGAGATGCCAGAACACGGTATGATACAGCCAAGGAAAAAGCCTGAAAGAACTAATTGAGTCAAACCAAGCCCTCTTTTCAAGGACAGCAGGTTTTTTTTTTTTTGTTTGTTTGTTTCTTATCACTGTTAGTTCGCCCCCACTGGGCTCTGTCATCGCAAACTCACCTAAAGAACCCCTTCTCCTTCACCAAATCCCAGTTTCTCCAGGTGGCAACACCACCTCTCCTGATCTTGCAGACTCAAAACTTGCAAGTTTTCTTGGACTTCTTCCTCTTCTTCAGTGCTGCATCCTATCTGTCATCAATTTCCCCTAAATAGTAGGCTCAATTGAGCTTTCTACTTGCCTAACATGCCTCCACAAATCGTTCTGCCTACCTCAGTACTATTATGGCAGAGTGCGGGTGCCTGCCTTCTCTAGGAAAACTTCGTGTCTCCTAGGACTACTGCAGCGTTTATGTCTCAGCTCAAGCTCATATTTTTGCCTCTAATTATAAATTGCCTTTGCACATTTGCTCTGCTTATTTCACAAGCCTTGTCTCCCCTCAAATACAGTATTATAAGGTCTTCCATAACAGGAATGATATAGTAGTTCTGGGCACCTGAAGTGTCAATACTCGTCAGTGTTCCTGCGCACGAGTGAGTGGATATGTACGCAGAGCAGAGAGGGGAAACAGATAGAGACCACGTATACGTGGGTAGAGACAGATTCTTTAGGTATATTATATAACCATATATTCTGTCAAAGTTATTTTTTTTCCATTTAGCAGATACAATTGTTCTGCCTCTCCTTTTTCCCGGGGCTGTGGAAAGCAGAGATACAAACAAAAAGCAAGTAAATACTAATGTAAAAAATATATATATTAAAGTCTGGATTTTGAGTACAAAAGAAATAAGTATGGCCATTAAAAAAAAATAGAACAAAGTATTAAGAGTTTCACTACCATCTCACCTTCACAGATAGTCAACAACTAATATACCGACATTTAAGCTTGCTTTGAATGAAAAGCAAAATTTTACTTGTTGCACTGACATCAAAATGAAATGATTCCAGTGATATAGAGGGCAGATAAATTGGAGATGATAGTCTGAGTTACTATGAATTACTACAAAGAGGCCTATGAGTCACTACAAAACATTCTCAGAAGAAAGGCAGTGTGATGTGCTGCTGGGACCTGAAGGCCGACATGCTGGGCATCTGGAGGATGAGCCGGGGAACAAACTCCCGCTCATGACCCTGCGCTTATGTGTGTTACCGCTCACGGTGAAGCTGCTGCATGAGCACAAGCCAACAATATCCTTACCAGAGAAAAGCAAAGGCTGAAGGCCCAAGATTAAGATGAAGGATCATAAAATCACAGGTTGTATAAATTGGAAACCATTTCCCTAAAATGTCATTCTTGGAACACTTGCCCCTAACTTTTTCCTTGGTCAGATAAGTTTGGGAATCTTATAGTCACAAGGTTCATGAGTGTGGTAAAAACTCTGGCAAGTCACACAGTAAAGAAACCTTATTTTAACATTTCCCAAATTCATTTGATTAGACAACATTCTTCTGCACATGAAACTTGGTTCACAAAATTCAGAACATCTTGAACTAAGATGAATCTCTAAAATCCTCAAGATAAACTCAGGTACAACATGCAATATAATACCCAACATAAACCTTCTCCACTCAACTCAAAGGAATACTACCATCTGCAAATTCAAGTGGATTCAAAAAGTGCTTATATGGCTTTATCATCCATTAAGGCACTAAAGCAGATTGTCCCCATGGGGGTCACCTTGATTTCATGGCCAGAGACTACACTGGCCTAGACACACTATTTCCTAGTAAGGAAATAATTTCATAATTTCATTTGGAGGAAAAATTTCATAAATTTCCTGTTAAATTAAATGGATGATAAACAACATAGAAAGACTTCCTTATGAAAAGTATAATTTACTTCCATTTCCAGGTGCTTGAACAATCTGTAAACACTAACCGGTTGAACATAGTTATTTTCTTTGAAGTGAATTAATCAACTGATTTAATCACAATGGGTGAAGTTACTAAGAATACATGCCCTGATTTTGCCACTTGCTAGCTTTGGAAATTGGGACACGTTAATGTTTCTACACTTGTTTTCTGAGGTGTAAAATGAGCAATAAACAACGTATTGATTATAATGGTCAGCACTTACTTATTTTATGTTTTATGGATACTGTTATTACGGCCACTTACAGATAAGGGAAGTAAGTAAGGCACAGAGAAGTTAGGTAACTTGCATGAAGTCAGAACACAGCTAGGAATTGTACAGTCTGATTCCCATTTGGGTAGTTTACATGGAAAGGTAGCAAAAAAATAAGCATGCTGTAATAGTCTTTTTCTGTACTCCACTTAAACATTTAGAACTGTAAAATGCAGCCACGAGCATTATAAAAGTTAGAGAATGTTGGTCTGATATTTGAGATTGACTAACAGCAACAAGAAAGACAAGGTGTTTTTGTTGTTGAAGGTGCCTAAAGGCACTTTATAAAGTCAAAACATTCCATTGCTAAAGATAATAATGAGAAGAGCCGTTGTTGTCCCATTAAGGCAGGGCGTACAAGCCACAAACAGTAACTAATATGTGTCACAAACATAACTAATACATGGTGTAAAACCGAGACAAGAGAAAATTTCAATGGGTCCAATGTAATTGCACACTTTAAGTTTTGCCCAATGTTCATCATTACCAAGATGAATCATGGAAAGAGGTGCCGTGTGATCCTTTTGTGTTAGGTAAAAATGGGGGTTGCCGGTGTACCTGTCAGAGATAATTTCAGTGGATGCAGACCCTGTTTGTGGGGGGACTTGGGTTGGAACTGAGTTGGGAGAAAAGAGCAAAGCATCAACACCTCTTCAAGGAGCATGTTGGGAATGTTCCCTTTCCAGTACTGCCATGCCTGCCTGGCTTCAACACTGCGCAGGGAAGAGAAACCAGATCAAACAGACATAAACACTCTGATTTAGCACGGTTCCTACAACCCACGTGTAATCCCTAATCTTGGGAGTTGAAAGAGCTGTACTTTTACCCGTGGCACGTTTGACATTCCTGAAAAGAAAACCCGTTTTCCATGGAATTTCACCACGTCTGATATCATCGAGACAAGGGGAGCTGAGGAAATTGACATTGTGGATATCGACTGCGAGACATCCCAGACCTTTAATACAACTCGAGTCCCCCATTCCCGTTCCCTGCACCGAACGCGTAGGAGCCCTACGAGCCAATGTAGAACACAGCAGCAGCCAAGCTTAAGAGTGATACTTTTTCAGATACAGTATAGCACTGTTTCTGGAAGACGTTACTCACATGAATATAATGTTTCTTGGGCTAATTAATCCGCCTCAGGAGCAGCGAGGCTAAAACTTCCAGGTTCCCCCGCCCTGGGCCACTCAAGCCGCGATCGGGACGTGAGCCCGGGGCGAGCCGAGGGGCATCCCGGGCCGAGGTCACCCGAACCGAAGTTAGGAGGCGAGGGCCGGCGACCGGAAGCGGTCCAGGGAGAGTTGTACAAAATTCAGGGGCCGTAACTTGGAAACGAAGCGAAATAAAATAAGACCTGAACTGTCTTAGGACCGAATTTCACAGGAGCGTCCCTCTGGCTCAGGAGGCCGGCGCGCGCAGCGAGGCCGCCTCAAAGGGCTGTCCCCGGAGCGTGTAGGCCGCGTACGGCTCTCTTCAGCGGGCGGGCAAAATGGGCGCGGGCGCTCCAGAGGCGCCCGCCCCGCCGCTCGGGCGCCGCTCACAGAGCACGTCGGCCCGCGAACCGCGAGCGCCGCCTCCCTGCCCACCCCGCCACCGGGCCTCAAGCCCCGACCGCGGCCGGCTACCGCCCTGCGCCCGACGGCCACGCCTGCCCCAACCGGCGCGGGCGTCTCCCAGGTGCCGCCGGGCCGGCCCCGCCCCGCCCCCGCGCGCCCGCCTCGAGCCCCGCCCCGAGCCCCGCCCCGAGCCCCGCCCCGCCCCGACCTCCCCGCCCCGCCT